TTTGGATGTAGGTGAACTACAACTCCAAAACCAAAGGACACTGCCCACCAAACCCTTCCAGTGTTTTCTGTTACTCATGGGAGAACTGTGTGCCAAGTTTGGTTAAATTCCATCATTGGTGGAGTTCAGAATGCTCTTTGATTGTAGGTGAACTATAAATCTCAGCAACTTCAACTCCCAAATGACAAAATCATTTTTTTTTTGAGTGAAGGACATACATAGGGTTGTTAGGTGTATTGTGTCCAAATTTGGTGCCAATTCGTCCAGTGGTTTTTGAGTTATGTTAATCCCACAAACAGACATTACATTTTTATTTATAGAGATTATTTCATCCATAAAGTTCTCTCTAGTCTTATCTTCTCCCCTCTTCAACCTATTTTCTTCTGTATAGTTTATTTCTTTTCTAATTTCGGTCTACACCAATCATCCTATCACTATTTAATCTTTCATACTCAAGTGGTTTTTGAGTTATGTTAATCCCACAAATGAACATTACATTTTTATTTATTTAAGATTGTTGTATTCTTGTGTTGTACATTTGCATTGTTGTGCTGCTGGGCTTGGATTCATGTAAGCTGCACCAAGTCCCCTTGGGGAGATGGGGGAAGGGTATAAATGAAGTTATTTTTATTTTTATTTTGTTGTTTTTATTGTTGTTGTTGTTGTTGTTGTTGTAGTGTTTGTTACCCAGCCAGTTCAGAGGAAGGCTTCACATGGTTGTTTCCTCTCCCTCCTCTAGTGCTGCAGTCCTACTTGGGAGGCGCCATGGGCGATCCGTCTCCAGTGGACAAGTTGCTGGAGCTCAACGCCCACTCCCGCTTCATCATTGGCTCCGTATCGGAGGATAATTCTGAGGATGAGACCAGCTCCTTGGTGAAAATTGACTTGATTGAGGATAAAGAGCAGTCGTTGTCGCCCGGTTCGGTCAGTTCGGACTCTCTTTCCGACCTCGTTCCCTCCGCCATCCAAGATGGCCTCGCCATCCATATGAGGTACAAAGACATTCGGTACTAATTCATTACTCTCTGTCTGGTTGCTTTTCTTTTTGCTACTCCAGAACATATTCTGAGTGTTGGGTCGACAATTGCAAAACTGGGTTGCCTCCAGATTCCACTTTTTAGTGTTTCATTGATGCTTATGTTGGGCTGCAGTGAGATTTGTGAACATAAGCCCTCCTATATTCAGTAAGGCCTTCTCAAAAGAAAGCACGTTCAGGATCATCCTGTTTGCCTGTTATGAAAATGTATTATGTGTTGTTCCAGCAACCCAGAATCACTGGGTTGCTGTGTGTTTTCCGTGCTGTCTGGCCGTGTTCCAGAAGCATTCTCTCCTGACGTTTCACCCACATCTATGGCAGGCATCCTCAGAGGTTGTGGGGTCTGTGGGAAACTAAGAAAATGGGGTTTATATATCTGTGGAATGTCCAGGGTGGGAGAAAGGACTCTTGTCTGGGTTGCTATGAGTTTCCCAAGCT